GGTTCCTCAAGAAGACATTGCCATAATTGTACACACCGACAAACACAATGATTCCGTTCGAATGTATTTTCGATTGTTTGCTTTCGATCCAAAATAATCAATTTCGATAGATAAATCAACTCAGTCAATCTTTAAATTTCACCATTTTCACTACACATAAGAAGTGTGTATCGTTGAACAACATAATCATCGTTGAAAGATGTTTGCGAAGAAAATCGAAATTTTCATTTTGTAACTGTTGAGTCGGATCAAATTTGTAATTTGAGGTAAAATTCTTTACGAATACAGAAATTATCAATTTTCCAGTTAACCGAAACAATACTGAACAAACAAATGTTTGTTTGGTGAATTGAATAGACGATATGATTTGAATTGATGATAAAATTACCGGGCAAATTTGAACGGTTTATTGTAATCAAACGATAATTCTTTCCGAGACAGTTCGGTTAGAAAACTGAATTCACCATCGATCACTCTTCTAATATCCGATTCAAGCTCTGAAGACTGATATAATCATTTTCCAAATTTNATTCACCATCGATCACTCTTCTAATATCCGATTCAAGCTCTGAAGACTGATATAATCATTTTCCAAATTTGTAAACCAACCACAAACGTTATGTCAGATGAACACAAAAACGTGACTACAATGAACAGAAATATATACAGCATGGCAGAAATATTAGCAAGAATAAAACAGATTCGAGATGTTCATTGAAAGCTTAAAAAATTCATTCACAAAGACAACGAATGCTACGCAACAACAGACTGAATCATTAAACTCACCAATAAATCCCGTAAAATTTGCGCTGATGAACAATTGCAGAAAATTATTCGCATTTTCTAATAACTTCTCGCCATTCCAACTGTCCAATTCACTGTTCAGTGATACTGAATCTTTTATGTTTCGATTCAATAAGCAATCCATTTCGCACTAAGCTGCAAAGCAAACAAAAAATACTTTTACATAAATGATACATGGATTTGTCATGTAATCGAACTGTATCGTATACTAACATTTTGGATACAATTAATGAACAATTCCCTCGTTTCGTTGCGTAACTGAAATAACGAAAACTTCCCACCCAGTGCTCGGCACACCGAAATCCCAATGGAAATTCATTGACGAGTGAAAAAAATGATTCGCGTGTAGCAAGAGTGCAGCTATTCTATTCTATTTCAATAGAACAGCTTTTTACGATATTGATCTTTTGAAAATCTCATACTAACGAACAACTTCACGAGGATTTCATGTAATCATTCCAATCGCTCATTCATAAGATTCTTAGCAACTGCTCAATTCTTGTTAGCAACTAATCCAATGTTTTCAATCTTTCCAATACATCGACGCATACGCAAATTCTTCTGAACACATTTGAATGTTTCAGAACTATTAAAAAAATGTTATCATTACATACTTTCTAACACTACTCAATGGCATCAATACATTTCGAATAGCTAATCCGCAGTTCATAATTCAATTGCAATTCACACATTATTTCAAACAATCCATCAATTCAGCTGACAAACATGCAAAGATGAAGATAGGTACAACAAAGCGATGCAACGCAATGCGATAAATTCTGTAACTGACTGAGGTAAACATTTATTTCGCAAATACAAAAAATGTTTCAATCAGAAAATCTACTATGATTTGGTAATATCAATGCGCATTACACCCGCATTTGTATCTTTACAACAACGACAACGTCTATGCATAAAATTTTGCTGAAGGAATACAACAAAAAGGACATTTTTGCTAAAGTCCAATCAA